TTCTACATTTTCTCCTTAGCTCCATGTTGCAGTAAGTTTTGGGAGTTCATTTTTAGTCCATCTCCTATCCTGAGAACTGTGTCTTGCAGAGACTGACAAAAATGAGCTCCTAAAACTTACTGCCAGATTCTGGAAGATCAATTCTTCGAACAGTGGTACAACAGGATGTGGTGCTGGTCCTTCAAGAGTCACTCTCAACTTATCTGTCCATAAAGCCTAGAAAAATAGTCTTCATGTATTTCACAACACTTCAGCATGTTATTCTAATTAAGTGAGGGTCATTTTTTAGCAAAGTCTCTGAGAACCTGACACCTTGTAATTATGGAGACTCCAGGTAGGTTGCAGTTCTGGAAAATAGTGGCAAAAATGAAACTAAATCCACCAGCAGGTGGCGGTAAGTCACTGATTTTATCACTGAATCATTAATTAAATTGATTCGTTTGAACAGTTGATTCATTCAGGAATGAAATCTTTATGAATGGGTAATCGTGAATCACTGACTCACTAGATTCGTCCAATCATTAGTGCCGCTTGTTCGGTCTTTGACAGAACATATAGGACAATTTTTTAAAATAGCGCCATAAACAAAATTTATTTCAAATTTAATTCAAGCACTTTCAAGGACCCATGTTTGTTTTCAAGTACTTTCCAGGCCTTGAATCCATATGTCTGAAATTAAAGTACTTTCAAGAAGCGTGGGAACCCTGTATGAAGATAAAGTTGAATGACAGGATATGTTACAGTCCAAGGATTGGCCTGTACTTTGAACATCTGCAGTATGTTTCCATTATCATATCACGTATGTTTGAATAAAAAGAAACTGAAATTAGGGTGAGGAAGTTTTATTCGGAAACTGGACCAGCTGCGCTGGTGTTCACCCAAGAATGGAACCAGAAACAGTATCAACTACAGGTAAAACGCTACACGTCTGAAGAATGTCACGTTATGAGTTAAAACACAGACTCGCTCACAGACACACATGTGCATCGATTCGTTTCACACACACTTAGTAAACTTGCACATCAATACCTTGATTAAGACAACGGTCTCCATGGTAATCAATGATTACATACCCAAAGAAACTCCACAAATTTCCCACAGTGCAATTCACCTACCTATACAGATATATATGTATAAATTTCTGATACACACACGCTCATGTAATGTACTTACATAATCATAATTTTTAATAAAGACTTTGATCCATTTAACTGTTTAATGAACATCTCAATCTTCATAAATAATACGCAAAAACAGAAAAAAAAACAGGTAATAATCCATCTTTTTTACATTTAGGCCCTCAACATCAGTGTTTCAATTTGAATGGTCCCAAAAGTAAGAAAACAAAACGATGGTTGATTTGTTCTTCAAATGATAATAAAATTGACAAAGAAGAATGACAAGTGTAGCATATGAGAAAGAGGGCATCCATTTAAACACACACAGGACGAGAGCAATAGCTACACAGTGCATTTACAGGGGGAACGCACATCAGGCTACTATACACAGAGAGGAAGTTCAATCACACATTCACCTGCAAACAGCACACTCACGATACATGCATGCACGCAAAAATTCCTCTCTCATCGTTTCGGGTGGTGAAGTTACTCAATGTGTATCATTTCGAGGATGTTTGTGTTGGTGTTTGTGTGTGTTTGATGGTTGTTCATGTGTAAGAGATGATAAGAGCGATTAACCCTTGGTGGACAGGATAAGAGCGACAATTAGCCCGTAGAGCCCCAGAACCTCAGCGAAAATGAGGATAAGGATCATCCCCACGAACAAGCGAGGCTGCTGGGCTGTGCCTCTCAC